TGTTTTTTGAACATTAAAACATCTAATCCTATTTTAGTAGACCCACAAAAAAAGATTTATGAACCTGAAAAGGGGCATAATAAGTTTCCTTTAAGTTTGCTATTGTTAACAAACCGCTAGCTAACTATCTAGTTAACGTTAGTTAGTTAGCACGCTAGTCAGCACGTTGCAAGAAAGCTAACTAGGTAATCAATTTACATCAATCATTAGTTAGCTAGCATTTTGCTAACTTTAGCTAGCCAGCTTAAGTTGTGACTATAGCGTATGTATGTCGCTTTTAACCTTATACTAAATTTGGTTAGGGTTAGGGTTAGTCTTTTCAACACCTGCCTATCACATAGCATATCTAAACTTGCTCAACTGTTATTGGAGCAAAGCAAAAAGGGATGGGACGAAGGGTAAATTATATAAACTGTAGTAAGTAAACAATGTGACTTGGCATGCTGCTAACATGTTCTCTTACAGCAACAGCCGTGGCTGGATGATGGTTGCTGTGCTGCAACTCTCCATCGTCCGCAGCATCTTGTTCTTTGTCACTCTGATCCTGTGGACAGATGAACAGTATGACTACGGTGATGTAAGTCATTTATTCAGACCTCCATCTGTTCTCATGAATTTTATATATGTGTTTTAGAGTGAGGAGGATCTGTGCCTTTGCCCTGTCCTTTCTTGGGTGGAGCTTTTTCAAATTCAGTTTTCACTGTTTTTATCACAGTAATCAATAGTAGATCATTTTTCAACATACAACATGTAGAATTTATATTTGCTAATACGTTGGATTCATGTTAATGATATTTCAATATCAAACAGCCCAGGATAGGTTGAAGGATAAAATCAGTGACAACCACCTTCTCGTTCTCCAGGTGGATTCAGTGGACCCCAACCTGTATGTGAACGGTATCATCTGCGTGTCGACCTTCGTGTCCTCCTACGGCTACCTTCTGTTCTACAAAGCGACTAAGGGTGCTTTACATGGCTATGGACTGAGAGCCAAGTTCATCTGCATTATTGTGGTGTTGGTGCTATGTGGCCTGCAGAGTGGCATCTTGGAGACCATGGGTGCCCTAGAGGTCATTCCCTGCACACCACCCTTCTCTGTCCTGACCAGGTCCCAGTGTAAGTTACAGCACATATTCCAATCTCAGTCTCAAACCATGTTTGCCATTACCTCTGTAGTTTAGGGGAGCAAGAAGAGGGTCTAGTGTAACCGGGTTTTGTTCGTTTAGTTGCCTTTCCATGCTGGTGATGCACCTTCCATGTTTGGGTTATTATTCTGTGTTACTTATGTGTTCCCTATTCCTGCAAATGATTTGATATGCACAGACATTTCAAATCCAAGAACTTCTAGTTCATTAGAGCATGAACGTTAATTATTGCTCTTGGGATCAGTAATAGACCTTTTTCCATTCACTTACTGATTTTGCTTGACTCAGTTTGACTCGCATTAAAATGCAGAATGATCACTGAATTGCCACTTTTGCCAGATTTGTTGAAAAGAAGGCAAAGATACATGTGGCTGTCTTGGTTGACTTCCTCTTCCTCTGTGGCTGTTGATGTCCTTCAACCCTGTGTCTGTGCTCTCTTTCCTCCCTCAGTGATCTATCACTACTGTGTGATTGTGGAGATGTTCTGCATTGGACTGTACGCCCGTCGCACTTTCCGTAAGGTGGAGCCGAGTGTGGTAGAGGACGTGGAGTGTCCCACCAGAGTCTGGCAGATTGAAAAGGCTGTTCAAACAGACGATGATCAGGTGACAAATCACAAGCCCGGCCTGCCATCAGAGAAGGCCTGGCCTGGCCGCTGCCTCGTCAGAGCCTCCAATCCCAGTTACACCAGTAACAGCGAGGACAGCCTGTGTAGGATAGAACACTCCCCTCTGGATGGCTTCCCCTTCCCTCAGGCCAGAGGTCAGCAGTCAGACAGGCAAGAACCAGTGAGGTCCAGTTGTGCAGAGGAACCTGGTGTAGATCTAACCCACATTACAGTCAGGGCTGATATTAACTGTCAAGACCCTAAAGATGTCACTGTGGTTTGACCAACTATGGAAGACAAAAGACTAAATTCAGTCTTAGCTTAACCACTGTCAATTCTGGTATTGGCCTGTCTGGGGAACTGCACACCCTGTTCTGTGATAAAACAGATTCACCGAACATTTTTATGTCACATAGGAGGATGTATTGGCAGAAATTTTATGTAACCCTTTCACACTACAGTGGACAGCTTCTCAAAAGCTGTTTTCTTGAATATGAATGGGTTTTGATGGTATATTTGCACATCAGCTACCACAGTGGATGCTAGTGCACCATCCCACACACAGCCAACCAAGATAGCTGACTGAAAGTCAGGTAAATAAATTGGTAATAAAGTAACAACTGAGAAATAATGCAATTTTCAAAAATCCAAGTATTGATTATATGTTGGGAGGAAATTATGAATAATCATCCACTAAACTGGACGTCATGCATCGTTGCTATATTTTAACTACAATTCATACTATTACTGCAAATTATTGAAAATACTTCATCTGCAGCAACTTTTCTGGTTGTAAATCAGTTAATTTATGTTATTGGAATGTAATATGCAGTTTTTGTTACAAAGACAGTATGTTGTACAGAGTGTGTGAGTAACAGCATATTTCTATTCATATATAAAAAAACATTTATATCTATATATTCAAGAATATAAACACATTCAACACGTTTACAATATAAAAATATACATTATTTTATATATAGTTATAAAAATAGATAACTTTATTGTTTTTTAATATACAGTCCATAGTGATAACTTACATTTAGCAAAAAAATACACATAATTCCTTTTCATATAATTCCTTCAAAGTCTTTGCTTCATATATCATATATTTATTACATATTAGAGTTTGGACAGATATGGATGTAAACTGCAACTTGACTGGTCGGTAGAGGTGTACAACCATCTGTGTTTTGTTTGTGTTTGTTGCCAAATTGATTTTGGAGCAGAGACAGCAGAGAGCACAGCTTATTAATTAACATTTTTTGCCTGCCTACCTGTTTGGCTTTATTGATCACTGAGACAGCACTGCCTTGGAGTGACTTTGGTTCAGTGTAAAAAAAAGAAGCTTTGATGTAGTTAAAGATACAGTGTGTAGTTGCAGATTACAACCCCTTTGCCTCACCCTCCCGTTTGAAGTGTTGGGGGAAAGTACAGTGCCTATGAAATGCAAAAAGCCCCTATCTACAGCCAGCTCCCTCTGTAGATAAAAACCTCTCATATAAAGGTAACACATAACAACAATTCTTTATATTCAGAGTGATTTACACAATGAAAACATACCTATGAATATTATTCTGACAGTAGATCCTCCTAAATGTTACACACTGGACCTTTTTGACATGTTGAGCTCAGGTTATTACATTTCTCTCGGGGCCATCTTCAGTGTAGTGAAGCTTCATTTAATATAAAGTGATTGGTAGCTTAGCTCACTACACTTTCCAAGTAGCTTGCCCAACACTGCTTATTTTAAATGGCAATATCAATTAAATAGAGTAGGTCTAGACCTTACTGCTTATAAATGGTACTGTATATGATGTCTCAGTGCTGCAGCACAGGAATTAAACTTCACCTGGTTAACAGAATATGTCTATGATCAGATCATTATGTTGTAACAGAAACAGAAACATTTAAATTGGAACAACATTGTGAATTTGAATATACTGAAACTGATGGTTGTAACGCACAATTTTGCTGATGTAGAAATTATTTAGGAATTTCAGTGTGAACTGAGAATTTTGCAGAAATTAGTGCCAATGTGGACATTGAAAAACAAAGTTTCAGCATGGTCTGCTTTTTTTTTATAGAGGCTGCAGTTTATGGCGGTGTTGTATTGTAACTCATAATGTGTTTCTAATGTTTCTGCACCTCCATAAACAGTAAGCACAACAAAAACTAAATATGAAATATTTTCTACTTTTCTGGGTGCGTTGTGTTTCTCTGTTAACATTATTATCATTGGGCTTTAGTTGTGATTAAGTAAATACATATCCACCTTTATATGCAATATTACTACAAAAATGGTAAATTTCTTATCATTTCATCATCAGCATTAATTATATAATATGCATCATATAATAGGAACAGAAAAATTTATATGAAGTGACTTTTACAGTACATGAATGATGACTTCCGTGTTTTAAAAAGCCATCTGTTATCCCCTGTTTCTTTGTCACAATGGTGAAGACAAAGGAGCTGTCTGAGGACATCAGAAGTGCGATAATTAGCAAACACAAGACCTCCAAAGGGTATAAGGCCACCTCCAAAGACCAAATTAGGATTATCCCTGTTCTCAACAGGATGCACTAATAGTTATTTGAGAAGTTTGCCAAGCATGGAACTGTCAAGAACCTCCCTGGACGTGGGGGGAAGAGAAAAATTGATGAGAGAAGTCTTCGAAGGTTGGTGCGAATGGTGGACAAAACACCACGTCAAACATCCAAAGACCTGAAGGCCAACCTGGAACAGTCTGGGGTCATGGTTTCAACAAGT